AACTATTTGCATATTTAAATATACTTCAAGTTTAGTGGGTGATTGGATCCCAAGAACTATATGCTACAATAAGCTCTAGACTACAAAGGAGTTAAGATTTTGAATTTGGCTAGAGCTCATATGATCTCCCTAAGGTCAAATTAGGCATCATATTCTATAATTAACACATTTTGGTCGGAAGAAGAGATTCTATGTAGTATTATTCTCATGTATAATGATGGCACCTAACCCAAAACATACAGAATTAGTAACATTTTCCTTAGTTGAAACATATAATGATTTTGTTTGCAAAAACATTAACATTTGCCCTTTATTGAGAAATATAATCATTTTCTGCTAAACTAAGAAGTCCAGAAAATTGTGTTGCAAATGCTTGAACTGACATATCATTGTGCCGACTCCTCGTTGTTCTATGTACACAGGAGACATCTGTCCGTGAAATTTCATCGATTTTACACCTGAAGGCTGACATTGCTGCTTATTTCCGAAGTTCATTAAACAAGTTCTGTTTTCAATATAGCTCTAAATCATGGATTAACTGAGCAACCACTAATTCAGTAATCTCTACAGAACCTAGGTAAGCTGGAAGTTCTTAAACTTGTGAAAAGACATGGTCCTTGCCGTGGAGGAGGTTACAGTTTCAATGGGAAGCAGATATGCAGACAACTAAAGAACACTTGAAAGGAATATAAGCGCTATAGGAAATCGAATAGGGGTAAAGTCCTTAATTTGACTATTAAACTAAACAGCTTCTGAAGAATAAACAGGACTTTAATATGTAGTTAGGGAGCAGCTGGAGAGTTGATTTTTAAACATGCTTAATGGGTCTGTTAATGCTAATTGTATCTGCATTTCCAAAACTTCATGAATATATTTAGAGATATAATACCAAAGACAAAGAGAAAACTAAGCTAGATCAGCAGTGGAGAAACAATGATAAGCAAGTTAACTTTCAGGATTCCATTTATACTTTGGTTCACTCAAATCGTTGTCGAGCAGTATTATGTTCCCCTCAGATGACTCACATTTAGCCTACAGTGCCCCCATGAAATAGATGATTAAAACTCTCATCCTGGATAACATTAGTGCTGTTAAGCTGCACTTAATTATTTCATATATCACACGGAAGCCCAGAGTTACTAAATGGAGCCATAATTCTTAAATCAGAGTTCATTCAGGAAACTTTTAGTGCCTACTTGTTTAACACAATCTTATAAATGATCCCTCACAAAGGATGTAAAAAATCAACACACATCTTTAATGGGCTATTTGTGCTTTGCTGCAGTGTTGAGTCTATAAAAGCTTCTTAATAGTGAGAGAAATGATGGCATTTTCATCTTAATTTGCAAATATAATTGCCATTCTAAATATCTTTTTGTTTCGAACTTAAGTGCTTATTGACAGCAGAAATTTCCCCCAAACACTAATAGAGTATTTAACATAATTTCATTTATTGAAAGAAAATCCAAGGGAAAATAACATACAGCTATCTGAAACTATTTAGCAGAAGGAAAATACCAAAAGGAAAAAGTAAGTTAAACCTAAACTTTGAGATCTAAAATGTAACTAATATTCAATATAAATTTAACACAATGTATATTTGATTAAACTTATACATTTAAATATACTGATGAAATTCAAGAAATAAAAATGATATCCTGGAAATCCAGGACAACAATCAAGAGCAATACAAAAACAAACTGAAACTAACAAGCTAATCCCTATTTCATAGAATTTCCCATCATTTTATCGAAAAATAAGAATACATTTTCGGTCAACTCATGGAAAATTAGTACAATTGAAATTAAATTCAATCAGTTGTAAATATTCCCTTGAGAAAACTATTTGTTTCCACCCAGAGTTTAACCTTTGCCCTACTGAAAATTGTGAATTTCAATTGCTTAATTTCAATGCACTTAGTGTGGACTCAGGGTAGTGAAATCACCACTCATAATTTATTAACCTTTGTATTACTATATGTCAATAAAGTAGTCCATGTACAAACATACGGGATATTTATCTCTCCCTAAATTTCACTTCTCTTTTCAAGCAGATATGAACATATGATGGATTGATTCTGAACTGACAAGATTTCACATTAAAATTTCAAGTCTTTAATTCTTACTTTTTCTATGTAATAACATATATATATTTACTTATAAATATGATGGATACTCAGCAAAGAAGTTTTTATATCAGATTTGAAAAAAGTTCTGATCATTCTGTGGTAGCTTTTCTCCTAAATCAAAGTAGAAAATGCCAGAGACACTGCTTTTTAAAAATAAGCGCTAAGAAAACTAATTGAACTGGTTAGCCACAAAGGGAACATTGTAGGAAAAGAAATAGCTTGGGATTGAACCCTATGATTTTATTGTTTTCATAGAAAATGCATTAACTCCTCATCGACATCAACTACCAGTTGCAAGAAGGGCACCCCTTCTCCTTTGCTGAGATGCAGACGAAGTGATTAGTAAGAAGCAGTCGTCAACCAAGAAGAAAACGAATTTGGAGGAAAATTTTTCCAGTTTAAATGTTTGTTGAGAGGCCCTGATCTCTGAAAGGCACATTAAAAACAAAAAAGGTTTTTGATAAAGAACATGCATTCAAAAGGATCCTTTTAAACCAATCACTCTATCAAAATCAGATTAGTCTGTCACCTGATCTTTCGAATCACTAATCAAAACAAACAAAAATAGACCATGAAAAATACCACAGCCAGTTTCATACAGTCTTAAGCATAGAACTAAATTAATTAATTATTCTTCAAATTATATATTTTGACAGATCAGTTTATTATAAAGTCTTTAAAATAAAAATGCATGTTTGGTGAAAAGTTAGTACAGTTGTCATTCATATTTTGTTATATTTTAAAATATAAAAGTAAAGAATGGGAGTATTTTTACTATCTGTAACATAATGTAACTGACTAGCTGGTTTGTAATTCGGATTACTATAATGATCGTAATTCATTGCCATGCCAAAGTCAATGTTGTGACAGATGTGAAATGAAGTACCACGAGGTTAGTCTATCGCATGACATTGTGGTGTTCCATGCATTGTTCAAATCTTTTAAAGAAAATTTAATGGCAGGCTAAACTTCTAACCTACTAAGTACCATGAATCACATGAAACAAGGAAACATTTTAAATCAGAGATACAGAGCAGTTTGTAATTCATGATGGAACTAAACAATAGGTAGCAGGAAAAAAGAAAAAGAAGAAAGCAAGGCTAGGTATATATATAATTTATAAAAGAGAAGACAGATTTTTAAAAGCACAAAATAAAAGTTATGTTATTTTTAAATAATGCATAGTCAATGAGTATTTAATATAAACTGTACCAGTCTGATGGGGCATCTTTTTCTTACTTTTGAGTTTGTTGAAAAGTAATAATATTGGGCACGATTTGTCACTTCTGGAAACTTTAGTGAATTTCAACATATCTAAGAGGCCATGAGTTTTAAGATGCTCTATTATTTTATATCTATCACTACACAGAAACACTGCCAATTGTAATTAAAATAGGCCTGATTACAGAGACGTTAAAATGTGGAGAAACAAGCATCTTTGAACTGATGAAACAGAGTAATGCTCCTAACTAATCGGGATCAAATACTGGCAATAGGAGATTATATGTATAATCTTTCTCCCAGAAAATTGAATGCTCAATTGCCTGATGCCTTCCTATAAAAGAACAGAAAAATATGCGCATCAATCACACTTAAAATACATTATCAATAAGTAAAAGGGGGAGTATGTGGGTGAGTTCAACTCATAACAAATACAAAAAAATATGAGGAAAAGGAAGGCAGTTGGTTAACAGGGAAGTGCTTCAAAGTTGCCACTTATATTACTTATATTAAAGAAAAGACTACTTAACATAATTGACATTTCACTTATCCCAAATTTCCTGCATTTTTATCCATTTACTTCGAATTATAGCAACTGAATATTTGATCTGGAGTGAAAAACATGGATTCTAAGTTTGTTAGTTTTATAAATAATCCAGAACCCACTTGAGATATATATTTTGATTGATTACTGTATCAATAAATCTGATTGCTTTGCAGTTCTTCTGATGGCCCCTTTGTTTTTGCAACTCATTTGCAATTTCTCAAAAATTTAATCAAAATGAATTTTTGAAGTACCAGCCAGTTCTCATGAACTTGTGTTTTCTTACTGTGTGAAAGTTTATGGGAAGATTTGAGTATTTCATGAACACTTTTTAGTAGTAGGATTAAAATTTTCATTTTCAGTAATTTCTTTGTGCAGGGTTACTTAGGAGACTTGATTGTTTTCCTGGAAAGGACACATGTTTATCCAAATATTCTGAATATAACTTTTTTAGTTTTTGGAAAAGCCTCACTCAAATCAAAGATCAAGGAAGGAAGGGAGCAATGAGTTAAGCCTCTTTAGATCTAAAATATTTTTATTGATATTATCAGCAATGAGGGTGCAGAAAATCAATTAAAAAGGATGATCCACTAATACAGGATAGTGGAGAGAAGTGATTAGTTGCCAGACGAAATGGAAGTCGAGATGAAGGAAGATTTAGTAAACATTAAGCTAAGTGCCCCAAATATTGTTTACTTTAATCTCTTTGGTTTGATAAAATGAGTGTAATTTTGAAAATTTTTCAATATGCCTGATTTGTTCAAAAAAGTTAGGAAACTCATTTGTTTATTCTTTTTAATTTAAAGGGCTTGGTTTAGCTCAATTCTATCACTACCTGATATTCCCACTGCTCCCCTCCTCAACCGTGAGAATACACAGTAAACTCCAAGTTCATATTTGTTTCATATTTTACTTTCAAAGGTTTAACATTCTTTTTTACATGTAGTACAAATATGGTAGAGCGCATCATGGAGTTCCTAGGAATTTCTTCTTGCAGACATTAGCACTGAAGATTCAGCCCATGGTCACAGAACCAATAAATTGTATAACTAGTCTAATTTTGGTGATCAGTGAACACTGCTCAACAAACACACATACCGCTTTTCATACCTTACCTGGAAAGAGGCGTTATTGAACATAGCTGGAAAATTATCTTTTAAGTTGAATTACTGAATTTGCACAAACATTTCTACAGAATTTCTTAAAAAATCAAGCTTTGTCATTTTTCCACTACATTTTGTTGTGCTTTTTATTTTAATATTTGCAAATGTTATAATTTAATGCTTATAACCCAATTACTTGCATAATCAGTTTTTTTTTAATCCTGGGGTGTTGAAAGAACATATAATAATAATAATAATATTCTTCTTTAGACAAAAGTCTTTTTAAATGAAGTTAAAAGCTGAGATGATTTAAGGAAAAAGATCTTCAAATTTTCATAACCAACAGGTTTAAGTGAAATTTACAATGCATTGGAAAACTGGCTGGTTAAAGGTATGATTTGTCCTCAGGTAGCTCAAAATCATTTTTACAGATTTTTGTTTTTTTGTAAAAGTGTTTTTTAATCTTGGTAAAATAATAAAATAATATTTCACAATTTGCACAGAGTCTGAGTAAAGGGCAGAGGCATATGACCCTCAGTGTTTAGGATAAAGCCAGGTTTTTTAGGCCCAGTTCTGCTGTAGAGTTTGTATGCACTGCAATCACACACATTGTCTTGTTCCCTCTAAAGCTAGGGCCAATTTCATTTCACATGGAGGTGAGAGTGAAAAATCACTCGTGTGTTTTATCACCTCCTGCGCTAAGTGTTATCTTAACCACTTTTTGCTCTGGTTGACCCATTTAATAACCTGGAAGAAGGAAGTGTTGCTCCCGCGTCTGGTCTTAGTGGAAGTGATTTTCGAATGGACAAGCAGCCGAGAGGCCATGGCTGTCTAGGAGGTCCCACAACACGTGTCACGTCTGCACCGGCGTACGCAGCAGCTCCGGTCCTTTCTTCTTCAGAAGCGGCGTGGTTGTCTTGCCTGTGATTTGCACATCGAGGCTCTGTAGTTTGTTTATAAAATAGTTTTACACAAACCACTCTTAGCAGTGCAAGCTTCTGAGTTGAAAATTATTCAGGCTTGTTTCATTGAAGGCACTTGGTTTCCATGGCAATTTATAAAAGATGGTGGTTTGGTTTCTTCGTTGGAACAGATGACTTAGTTTGGGTGTTCAAGTGGCCGCAAGCAAACTCCAGTAAGCCTGTGTAATGTGTAAGCCCAGGTTTACCGCCCTGGAGAGTAGTGCATGCAAAAGGAGACGGCATACATTATCTAGCCGAGCCATGGGAGGGAAACAAAGAATAACCATAAAGGTGGGATAGGGATAAGGTGGGGAGGAACGCGAATGTTGTAAATAATTCTGAGTTCGGGTTATTTTCAAGGAAGGGTAACAACCAAGGTAAAAGGGCCTACATTTATTTAATTCTCTACGTAAAACCTTCTCGAAAGGAAAATAAATGCCAGCTCTTCACGTACCCTGTTTACAGTGAGGTTTTTGTTGGCAGGCCATTAGGTTTCCATGGTAACAAGCAAACTATTCATTTGAAACAAAACCAGCCATGACTTTGTGCTTTGACAAGGGTTTCTATAGCTCTTTTTTTTTTTCCAGAGTTCAACCAGATGACCAGATGATGCTGTAATCATTTTAGCCACAAAAGCACCTGAAGGTCTCTCTACTCAGGTCAAGATTATCTTTTATATGTACTGGAATAAGTTATACTTCCATGATGTCTTTTTATCCCCAGTGCTTAAAAAATTTGTTTTTATTATTTTATTTTTCAGTCAGTAGTCAGTGGAGGAATCTTTGGTAGTTTGTTTTTTCAATGTCCATGTACAAAGACTCTTTCTTCATGCCAGTGCCTGGTGAATCTTTTATAGCCTCTGCCAGGATAAGGTCACCTTCGAGGACTTAAGATAGAGATGAGGACGATAACGGGAAAAAGCCATACATGTACTAAAATCCCAACAGCACCATCAACGGAATCTAAAGACAAGGAAAATAAATGCCAAGAAACAAAAACAGGAGCATAAGTATTCCACGTAGCTACCAATGCGACTTTGGTGAACTAATAAGACAATTTCTTATATGGAAAACATTTTTAGAGAACATTTTTCTATTTGGTTTGCCTTATTTATCAGCTTCATTTCCAAAGCAAATGAAGGAAAATAACTTGAATATATGGTCAAGCATTTGATAAAATAAAAATATCTGCAGATTTTAAATTGACATGATATGCTATGAAAACTTGTTCGGAAGATGGTTCTGTGAATTTTGGGCTGTGCTCAGCCTCAGATCCTGCTGGCCACATGAAAGCATGCACTCATAGGAAATTCTCAGAAATCGTAAAAGGTCAGCCTTTTTTCCAAGCTTCCAGAAATGTTTAAGCTTAAAGACTGAGAGAACAACTACTCTTGATGAAAACTAGGAAGGGATTGTTATGGGTAGAGAAATTAACTACTGCAAATGGTGGATTATGTATGTTTATATATAGAGGATCAGTCCAATATCTATAAATTGGGTAAATAATTATCTCTTTAGTGTAGTTTTTAGAAGCTCTATGAAGTCCATTCTAACTAAAAAGTCCCTTCCACCAATCTGCCTCGAGATTCTTACCGTAGTTGGTATTTCAATGAAAGCCTCATGTCCAGGTGATACCTCTTAGAATGTACCCCTTACCTAGGAGGGCTAACATAGGCAAACCCGATAACTCATTAACCTGGCTTAAGTTACAGAATGGCTCTCATCTAAGAGAGGGCTGGGTTTTGAAAATGAGCCATACACTTTCAGCTTTTGATGGTGTGGGCCACAGTACCATTACTGCCTGAGAGCCTGGGAACCTGTAGGAAGAGGCTTTTGGCTTCCAAGCTGGTTTGTACTTAAAAATTAACATTAATTTAATATTCATAAAACATTATTCATCAATGAACTTAGTTAAATAGATATAAATGTAACAGAATACTTTCTCATACCAGAGAATATTTTTGTTCAATTAGGATTATTTGTTTCCCCCGATTTGCAGAGGCTACATAAAAATACCTCCAATACATATAGATATATCTTATTTAAAACAGCCGCACATTTCTCTGGATTTGGTAGGTGGAGAGAAGAACACGGATTACGACAATGTTCTGTTGGGTAACGATAAGTCCTGATGCGTTTTTGTGGTCATTTCTCTGCAGCTCCTCTCACCTTCTCTCCTTTCTCCTTTCGGGAGTAAATTATGTTCTCTTCTTTCCTCATTTGGAAAGTTTAATTCAATTCATTGAATTTAATTTATAATAGTTTTCAGTGATTAAATTATCAACATGTAAAATTTCTTTAAAAGATGTTACTAGTATGTTGCTCTCACTGATTCATGTCCCGAGATTCAAAAGAAACCCCACCCTTGGGGGACAATGCATGCTTTTCTGTGCATTTGACAAGCCTACTTCCTTTGGGTAGAGCTATTGGTTTTCTAAAGCAAAATGAGCCAGACACAGGGAGAAATTGTTACTGAATGTGTTACTCGATATGCTAAATCTAACAACAAGAAGGTGAAAACCATGAGCAAAATGGCTCACTGTTATACTGAATCTTAGTTTTTGTCTTTTACAATGCTTAAAAATAGATTTTTCTGATTTGCTCCAGACTTATACCAAATGGATTTTTGTGCTTCTTTTGTGTGTACTAAATAATTGATGAGTTATTTATGTAAATTTAGCTTGATTGATACCTCTTTATATGACCACAAAATTTAAGATTCCACATGGGCCTATTAAAAACCTTCAATCAGAGGATTTTTTTAATAAAAATGCTTTTAGATTTCTCAACTTCAAATGGATAATATAGAGATGAGGCTTTTAAGAAACAGCCCAACACATACTTGTGATGCTTTTCGCATTACTTATCTTTTTTTATGTGTGTGTGTGTGAGGAAGATTAACCGAGAGCTAACATCTGTTGCCAATCTTCCTTTTTTTGCTGAAGAAGATTGGCCCTGGGCTAACATCCGTGCCCATCTTCCTATACTTTATGTGGGACACCTGCCACAGCATGGCTTGATAAGCGGTGCGTCGGTCCGCGCCCAGGATCCAAACCGTGAACCCCCCGGGTCCCCAAAGTGGAGCGCGCAAACTTAACCGCTATGCCACTGGGCTGGCCTCTATTTATCATTTTTGATTTAGACTTCTTTTATTAAAAAATGGATTTTGGTGAAAATATAAAATTTGAAGATATTAAATCAGAGTAATATTCAATACCAGAGTAAAAACTGAAAGCAAATTACTAAACAAGATTGTGGTGCATGTAGAAGGAGATTAATTATACCAGAAAAAATAAAGCTACTCCATTACTTAATATATATACTAAGGCTCTTCACAATATTGAATCTGTTAAAATGGTTAGCAAAATGGTTGAATATATTTCCTAGTTGGCTAGGCAATATATTCATAAACTGTTTTGGGGAATAAAAACAGCTATGTCTATATAAATGTGTGCTGAGTATATAGATTAGCCAAATATTTTAATAAAAGTAAAAAAAATCCTCTGAAATTAATAATATAAATTAAAAATATTTTAAAATCTTAGTTAAAAGTCAAAATGTGATTGCCTTACATAGACCTAAATCAAAATTACTTTTGTTTTATCTTAGGCTAAATATGCCTATAGTTGAATTTAATACTTTGATTTTAAAATATCTTCAAAATTTTAGGATCTCATATATAAGAAATTTCTAAATAAACAAACTAAAAATAATTTTTTTAATTAGAATATATTAATTTAACAGTAATTATGTTACTTTAACATCAAACCAATCCAAGAAGAGACACTTACTCTTAGTCGTTAGGTCTTGTTTTGCACATTCTCCTTCTGCAATTGATACATCATCAATGGCAATGTCACCTTCTATGCCAGGACCTCGAATACCTTCAAAAATGAGCTACAAATAGGAATGAAACAAACCTAAATGTAGAGCTTTGATTTGCAAATGAATTTCTATTGAGAAATTGAGGAGCCAAACCTAAACTTGTCAACAACTCTGGCATCTTTTTTTCTTGATGTTCTTCAAGATTGTTACTTGCAAAAAATATAAACTTTCTTAACAAAACCAATAACGGCATCTTCTTTGCATAGTTTTAGTTTTTCACATCAAAAGCTCCATGTTGATTTTAAAACAAAATTATACTTAATTGGATAATACAATAAAAACAACTACTTCTACAAATCCTATCACTTTTGGTTTTCAGGGGTAAGAGATAATTTTTATTTGAGCAGTATTTCTCTGAAATGGATTTCCTCAAATTTTCTCTAAACATACTCATAACACTGATTTTCTAGAAAAATTTTAAGAAATGAATGAGTTCTGGGTTTTTTACAACAGTTTTATGTTTACTGAAGCCCAGAACAAGGGTTTACCATCTCTGGGAAATTGTTTGATCTCTTGCAAATACAATGAATAGGTTCCTCATATTGCCCAGATGTCATGATTTACCTCTATGATTTCACTTTGACATTCTATTTTTAAACACTTGAAGATATTTATGGGTCTATTTATGTTGAGTGTTTAGTAGCTGGGCTTTGAATTTCCAGTATCTGGAACAGTGGTTGACACTGAGGTTTAATACGTGAGTGTTGAAAAAATAGATGAATGAAACCATTCTCCCTTTATTACTAATTCTGGACATAATGACAATATAAGGACATTTACCAAATTTTTATTATTTCATTTTTACAGAAACAAGACTCTTTTAGAATTTTCTTTATAACTGCCCAATTATTCCTTGCTTCCAGCAAAACTTTTTAATCCTTTTGATACGAAAAGGCAAAGTATGCATTTAGTGATTATATTCCCAGAAAAAATTTCTACATGTCAAAATGAAATATCTAGTTTAGCCTTTCCAAAGAAAAATTAGCTTAATAAAGAGCTGTCTCCAACATGAAGCTGATGTGTGTGCTTTTATAGAATTTCTAGCCTTGTTGCATTGCAACAACTGAGAGTGAAATTCTATTTTTATCAACGCTAAAATTTTTTTTTTGTCTTGTTTTTGTTTTTGTTTTGTTTTGTCTTTGAAAGCATCTTAATATGGCTCCTTAAAGGGAAATCTGTGGTGATTTTCAGAGAACTTAGGCAACCTTTGAGAAAGTGATCCATTGTTCTCTGATATACTATCATAATTTATCAATTGAAATCTCTAAGTAGTAGCAAGAGGCATTAGTTATCAACTTTTTTATTGAGTCCCTGTCCCTCACTTAGATATAGTCCATTAGAGTAACAATAATTTTCATGATTTGATAGGAGAAAAAGCTTTAGGAAGTTTTTATTACTATATTTAATTTGCATAGAGAGGGTTTCCTCCTTACCTATGTTGAGATAAATATGTTAATAAAGAGTGTCCAAAGCCATTTCTTTGAAAAGCATCCAAAGTGTCCTGTATCACTGAAGCTGAAATAAAATGGCAGGCCACAGTTAAAATATTTGGAGCTAAGCTGCCAGCATACGAATTCTCAGTTCTCAGATAGAATCGGCAATGAAGCATCCCAGTCTGGCTGCATGGAAATAATGGCTTGCATTGGACTCAGGGTGGTGTTTTGGAAGGTGTTTGGGAAGTGGCTAAAAAGCCCTCTGAGGACTGTTTAAATCACAAGAGTGAGGATTTAAAAAAAAAATCAATGGTATAAACACTCAGGAGTACTGAATATGGAAAAGGAGAAGTCATTTTAATGGCTGCAGAATATTCCATGTTATAGATACAACATAATTTATTTAACCAGTACCCTATTGTTAGACATTAAAATTATTTTCAGCTATTGTAAGGCTGAGATGAATACATTTCATATAATTATTATACACACTTATTTAGAACACATTGTTCTTTAAGGTCATCATAAATTGCGTCTATCAGCACTCTGTCTGTGAGAAGGTATTGCCTTTTCCTAACCAGGGGTTTTTAAGGTATGTTAAGGGTATTCCAGGTATTTTCCTTTTTTTGATATGCGCTGCTTACATGATACACAGTCAATGTTAGAATAAATCAATGGTTACCCCCCCTTTCTTAGTTTCAGTCATGTGATGCTGAGTCTTCTCCCCTGAAGACCACAACATGAATGGAATGTTATCTTGGAGAAAGTCAGAACTCAAAGATTTAGGCTGAAATGAGTCTGATTCCACAAAATCCAACATTTTCCACTTTGCCCACAAGACTAATACTTTATCGAATGAAAGTGGAATGCCGTCATCACAAATTTTCCTTTCATGCAGGTGTTTTCAAGAATTGAATGGAATAAAGTGTAGATTTCTGCCTCCTAGTCAAGTTTTAATTTTGGAGTGAAGCAGGAATAAGAATGTATTAGTCAGAAAAATCTGGTATGGTAAAGAGGAAACCTCAGTCACCAAGAGTTTTAATTTTAAGAGATGGAGTGGGAAGGGACAGAGAGTAAACACAGCTTGTAGAGTACAATACAGGGTTTGAAACGTAGCCGTGACAAAGATAAAGGGATTGCATTCCCATATGCTTTGTGTGGGAAGTGAGATGTTGGTGAAAAGGCTAATAAAGGTCGGTTAGAATGTTCTGCACCTGCTCACTCTTGAAATTTAGACAGATGAAGCTAAGTCATAGTCCTTTCATTGGATGCTGGAGAAACAGGTTTGGGAGTACATGGCTTTTCCATCTTAGCTATCCAGAAGTGAGTAGATAAAATTATCCACAGTTTTTCTTATTTAAAATACACAATTATTTTCACTTAGTAAGTTCTTGTTCCCTGGAGGTAGGTGTCAATATAAAATAATGGGGTTATTTAAAAAATCAAAACTAATATGTGTAAATCATCAAAATCATTCCCAAACTTTTTAAAGCTGGTTTCCCTGGAATGATTATGCCATTGCTCAAAGCATTTCAAAACGTCTGTTACCATCTTTAAAGTATTATACGCTCCTACTTTTCCTATTAATTTCCTTTTCCTTCCCTTCCTTCTGCCTCCCTGTGCAGCTTGATCAAAAATGCAAGGTCAGACCTAGCCTTGTGCTGAAGACAGAAGTCCCAAAGCAGAGAGGTTATGAAGGATGCTGCCATCCTTCTTTCGTGGTCAGATTGAGAGAGAATGGGCAGCCTTGGGTGGCAGACATTTGAGCGTACACTGACTGATGTAATTTAACATGTGTGCTGCCTGCCTGCTGGCAATATGGTGACTGTATGTGTGTAGTTGGCTGAACAGCAAAAATACAAATCAACAAAAGTCAAACTGTCACGTGTCCTGACGGCTGCCTGTATCTAGAACATTCTCTCATATGAATACTTCATCCCTTGGTGATCCCAAATTAAATGTTACAGTAATAAAATTTGGCTGATTTGTAAATCTATTATTTCCATTTATCTGTACAAATATGGATAATACAGTTTGTCACTGAATAAAGCAAGTTGATTACTTTCTCTATAAGCATGGCAGGCGTTTTGGATACTGTGTGGAAATAAATCAGAGAATTAATAGTAGTTATTACTAGGATGATAAAAATAATTTCTGACAATCAACTCTTGGTACAGTTACAATTAGCATTTTTTATATTTATTTGTAATCCTGTGTGATAGGAAATCCAATCTAGTAGACCAGAGTAATACGGTCTTCTTCAGGGTCCTATTTGAACAGGAAGAAGAGGTCTCGTGCAGTATGCTTGTTTGCTTCCTGTTAATTTCCATAGCAGTCTTGCTATTAGGAAGACATCGATTGTTTTTTAACTCATACTGACTCTCATAAAGAAATATTTATTGCATTGTTTTACTTATGCTCTGAATTCCAAATACAATTATATTTTTTAATTATTATAATAAAATTTTATAGATTCTAGTAGACTCATAAATGGCCTCTAGACTAAGAGCTGGAGGGGTACTTTTTCCTTTGTATTGTTTTTGACTGTGAGGTAGAAAACAGAAATGAAATACATAGGTATTCAATTTAAACAATGTACCTTCACCAAACTTTCAAGTATTTATAAAAATAAATCTGCAGTGACAAACATCTTTTTATCAAATATAAAGAGGAAAAACTATAACGATTTGTTACGATATATCTCAACTTGGAAGATGTGATCTGTATGCAATGAAAAAATCTAAATTATATTCACTAGAAGAAGAAGTGCTCTCTAGTTTAATAGGTTACATTCTGTCATATTTTTATGAAGAATCATCATAATTCTGACTGCTGCTACATTACGGAAATAAAACTATGTTCCCTTCCTCTTTAGTACGTCTGGAATGCATTTGGTTTAATTGTCATGAAGAAGGAATTAACAGCATCTGGATACTCAGGGAAAAAATGTTGAAGTTTAGGTCTCCTAAAAGAGGGTTCAAATTATGCAAAATCTGTTCTTCACACACAATCATGTTGATATTATTTAAAACGGTTTCCCTTAACTGAAGTTTAAAATTTTAATGTTTTCACAGTGTGTGCATGCAGTTCAGCAAACTTAATATGCAAGAAATACTGCATAATCAGAAAATTAACTCTTGGTAGGTAAATTCAAGTGGAAATTTAAAAAAATGTATGTGGACTTCTGTATTAGAATTAAACCACACAAAATTAATTCAGTTCATCGAATTATATAGATTACATCCGTTATAATGCTTTAAAGCATACAGATATTGATGTCAACATAGAGCCGGAGATAGAGATGATGCTATTAAAGCTTGTGTTCAGATATAATTTCTCATAAGGGAGGAAGAGCCACATGCAATACTAATAAGTAAAGTTGATGGAAGAGTTAAAGAATACAACGTGCTTCTGATGATCTGACTTCAATGCTAAAGGTGCCTCTGCAAATGCTCACAACATATTTTCTTGCTGACAAGAGAGAAATCTCTTCTGATCATTATTGCTAAAAGGCAGAATCAAAGCCTTAGAATGTAGTTTGAAAACTGACAGTGCACAATGCTTGGAAAAACTTCCTAA